AAAAAGATTAAATGAAATATATATAGTAAAATTCGACTACCAACGAACAATTATATGGCGGAGTTTCAAAATGATACATTTGCATATGACTGGTGCCATAAAGCTAGAATAATAATTGCCAAATCTAATTGCTAATCTTAAAGCCAAATAAATAAAGCTGGAATTTGTATGTATACATACAAGCAGCACAAATGTTATTACATGGCCCGCAGTTAAAGCAGTAAGAAAAAAAAAACAAAGAAAAAAAAAATAATGTAAAAGAAAACTTCTACGATAGCATCTTGCCCATAGATCGAAGAAGAAAGAAATAAAGAGGAATAAAGAAAGAGTGATTGAAAAATGTCTCTTAACTAAGGCAAATCGTGAAAGAGAAACAAAAGTATAAGTAGATAAATTTACGATTTCCCTTTGTCTCGCTGTCAAATTTAAGTGCATCTGTGCAGGTTTTGTTCAATTGCAATAGGGCGTTGAGAGTTAAAACTCAAAAGTCAAGAAACGTCATGAAGCAAACAAATAAGAGAAATCAGTACTAAGCCAGAGTATTGTGTTTTATTAATTCTTAAACGATAAACTGCCTTCAAGAATAACGAAGTGAAGAGTGGAGTGTATTGGCAGAATGCACCAAGCGAAGCGCATAGCATTCGTGCATGAATATATTAATTTTAAATATCAGTGACGGTATGCGTACCAAAATAGAAAAGCAAGAAATAAAATAAACAAGCCTAAGGCATATCTATGTAAATAAAATAAAATTATGGGAATTTTTTATAAAATATACGTGAGCTTCTTATTACAGTAGCTTTTGCGAAATAATATGCATTAAGAAGAAAAATTGTTAATATTGAAATATTTAAAAAGAAAGAGAATTATTGCAAAGAAACATTTACATTAATGTATGAGTTAATTTACAAGAAGCGGTTTACAATACCGAAAAAAAAGATAAACGGAAATTTTATGTAAACAAATTGGAAATTATATCTCACCAAATGGAGTTATTTTTTTTCTTAAAGTAAAAAAAAAAAAAAGGTAAAAAAAAAATTTAAATAATTAGACCGAAACAAACACAAACGGCAATAACAACGACAACAGCAACGGCAGCTGTAATATGACGTATATCATTGATCGTCAGTGAAATTCATAATAAAAATTCATTGCGCAAACGCTTTAAATTACGCCAAAAGGCAACCCAACAAGTTAAAGAGGAAGAGGAAAAGGGGGTGAATAAGAGAGCGAGAGCGTAAGAAGAAGGAGCCAGATGATGTAAGCAGCCACCACCACAGTTTCTAGCAACGACCAGATTCACGGTCAGGTATTTTCATTCATTTATTTCCTTTTTTTCCTTTTTCTTGTCCCCTATTTACGGAGGAGCCCCGATGTGTGTCTGAGTTTAGCCTGTCACCGCTGTGGCTGAGGTCAGGTGAGGGAGTGTGCATGTGATGACACCGTAGGGAGGATGTCAGACGGTTACAGACGGACTCACGGTAGACAGACGTACGATAGACTACTGACGAGACTATTCCTTTTTTTGTATTCTTTGTCATGAGGCTCAGAGAGCCAAGCCGTTAAGAAATACGCTCTACCGGCAACAAGGGGGCTAGTACGGTGACAATCTATGAAACCAAGGGCCGATTTACCTTTAAGCTTGGATATCTCTTTGCATTTTTGGGTTTACTATAATAAACTTTAAAAAAAATGTTTCGCGAATGGTTTAGTGACCAAGGCAGTCTAGAAAAAGTTGCATTCTGTGATATCCATTCAGAAGAATTGGTTAACAACCTTCTCAAAGACGCTGAAAATCACGTCAGCTACATATATTATATTAGACATTGTGCGCGAAGAAGCAAAACAGTGAGAGAGGTCGTCCTCATGTCCAAATATTAAAAAGTAAGTTCTAATAATTTCGGCCTTTGTGAAATTTTGATTTCGTCATTAAAACCAACTATAGGTGAGACGGGAACATTAACTAATCGATCAAATATATAGGAGTCCAGCTGTTAGCTAATGAATGTTCTTCTAGAAATTCATTTGATTTCATTTTTTATGTTTGATACAGCACCGTACTATTGATTTTATTTTAAGTTGATTTGTGATAGTAGTAATCAGTTTGCAGCAATAAATTTGGTGAAAATTTTGATCGCCTTTTTACTGAATGGAAAAAACCTATTCTAATACGTGTTGTTGTTAAGTTATGATTGCGATTGAATATTGAGTTTTAACCTGTTGTTGTTTAAACTGGTAAAATGTTGCTGTAATGGTTGCCCTTCGGAATCAATTGTTGATAGAAATATTTAATAGAATAAAAAATCCGTCAAAAATAAAAAAAACAATTAAGAGGAACATAGAATACTAATAAGTACATTGCTTTTCTAGGATTTTTTTAATTGAGTTTATATTCTTCACTTGACAATTATATAACATAAAAATTTATTTCATATTTAGATATAAAATTGTATCCATATTACTATAATTACTACATATTTTTTCGACTTATGATGAAATATTCTAGGAGAAATTTCGTAAATTCGAACAAGAAAAAAAAGCCAGTTGATACGCAATTTGCAAAAGGTGTGTAACCATTTGTCGTTGAAATCCTTTTCTTTTAGGAGTAATGATAGATTATTATCTGCCTCATCTATTGGCATTTCGAAAGGATCCTTATCATTAGATTCGTTTAAATTACCATTAGCCTCAAGTTTATTAGAAAAAGGAATCGATTGAATCATAACATTGTTTGTGGAATGCTCCACATTATCGTTTTCTCTTTTCACTACAACATTCTCGCCTAGATTGCCCAGCTTTTATAGAACGCATGAAAATCAGAGAGTGTAACTCAACAATCACTACAAATTACTGTTGATATTTGATCATTTTGTTGGAGCTGCAGAATAGAGAAAAACTCTTTATTTTCTTTGTGGAGAAAGTCGAAAATTGCTTATCTCAAACCAGGTAAGGAAAAGGAAAGGTGTCATGCAGTAAGGCGACTTTGCATTCATAACTACGTATTTTGCAACGCAAGTGTTTATCGGTGGAAGGAAGGTGGGTGCAGGAGAGAAAGGTGTCAACATTTCCAAAAATCTTGGACTTCATTAGGTTATTCATGTCAGATTTCTCCGTAAAGTCTCATATCCAAATGTGTACACGCAAACACATTTGTATAAAGAAATTTTGGGTTTTCTCTTTTTGCTTATAATTTATTTATTGACTAGACTAGTTGTTTATTCTATTCAATGTTAGCGAAGAATTGAAAAAATGTGAAGCACCTCTGTTAGGTCTAGAAATAATAAACATTAAAAAATATGACATGCGTATATACAAATGTATAAATAGGTTATTTCAACACATGCTTAGGTTATATATGCATAATGCATCCTTGACGTAAGAGGAAACTGTTCTTCAAAATTTCAAAACAACTTATTATTTGATAATTTTTGGAATTAGATATCAAAACTTATGCTTTCCAAACGCTTATGGAATTGTATATGCTGAAAATAGGGAAAATTCACAAACAAAGTAGCAGAGAATGCTTTCTCTAATTTAAAAAGAAATCCTAGGAGTTTTTCTTTCAGCTTCTAAGTCAAAAGAGTATTTATATATGAAAACGAAGAATGAAATAAATGTCAGACCAATGATTGTAAGTCAGGCTTTCCAAGCAGTGCAGAAAAACAATAACATATATTTATTGTACACCTGCATTCATATTGGCGGCATTACAACAACAAGTATGTGTGCCGCCATATTAATTTATATTATATTCGCCATTGCTTTTTTAGATATTTTTATTTTTTTTATTTTGGATAGCAAAGTATCAATCATGTATGTGTGATATATTGTATAGAGAATGGAGGATGTGTAATAGGTGCGCAAATATATCAATTATTGCTATTGCATGCAGATTGCGTGCAGAGAAATGAAAAGTAAAGGTTAAATGCAGAAAACTATTCTGCACTTTCGGAATTATTTTCTATACAATAATTCCGATTTTCTATAAACCTTCGTATAATTTTTGTTTTTATATGCACAAAATTATATTTTACGTATGTGCTGTTGTCTGCAAACCGGTAAGTGGACAAGGAGAGCAGTTACCCGATATATCAAATGCAAATTTAGTTTCTTACATAATATATCTTAGATAATATATCTCACTTATTATCAATCATGTCCGGTGTCTCTTATTCATTTATTTGTTATATTACTAGTACTTCGTGATTTTTATTTATTGTAACCATTTCTATTTTCGTGAATTTTTTTAATATTTAATTTTGAAAATATTTTAGCTGAAAATAAATTATTTGTAGCGAAAATTAGTTGTAAATACACTAAATAAGGCACAGGTTAGTTTTACTTAACAAAAACAAAGTAATAAGCATAGAAAAAATTGTGCGCACCTCATCAAAAATTCATATAGCGGCGCACATGTTCTTGTAACCGCCAACGAGAACCCCAGGGAAACTATACGAATCTTAGATGGATCTCCTTGCTAACAAATAAAATTAAAAAATAATGAAAAATTCACTTGCCAGTCAATGTAATATTTTTCTTTCTTATTTTTTTTTAAAAATACACTTAAAAATTTTTATAATATACTTTTATGAAATTTTTTTAAAATACACTTAAGAATTATATATGTATACAATTATTATAATTTTACTTTTTTGTTAGTAATATGTAGTTTTTTTGGTAATTTTTTTCAAAATTTTCATTGTTGCACGAAGCACTTGTGAAATGATTTTGATTTTCCACTAAAGCCTGTAAAAGCCGTTAGCTGATTTTTTCTTTTGCATCATTTTAAAAAAGAAATCATGTGTGGTGAATGGAGAGAGCACAGAGTTGCTTTTAATAGATAAGAAAAATGGTGAATAAAAAATCTTTCTCATCTGTTAAACTGGAAAAAGTAGCAACGGAGGGAGCAGCAAGTCTTTTAAATGGGATAAAGTGGTGAAAAAAGATCGTAGCAGCTGGATATATGGTTCAGCTACAGCTGTTGTACTTTGTAAGGTTTACTTTGATGTGAAAATACAGAGGTTGGGTGCGCAAGAAGAAAAAAAAAAGTAAAGGAAAACAATGAGTTAGCCGGCTATCTTTTCAAAGCTGTACATTTGGCTATTTAATATACTGCTTTTCACAAGTAAAGTTTGCATCATACAATTTGTTATATTAAACATTGAAAAATTGTTAAGAATATTTTTTTGGTCATTTTCTTGCCATTTTTGAGGTATTGAATGTTATTATAGTTTGTAAAAGTTTTAGTTAGTGCGTCAAATATAAGCAAATTTCCGTCACAACTGACTCTCGCCTCTAAATTTATCAGTTGAACAAATTTCTCTTCGTCCAGTCTATGTTTGCTCACTTGGCCCGTCTTTTGTAGGGGCTCTATCACCCAAGTTCAACAACAGGTAATAAAATATACGCAAACAGAATGTTACTATCATTTTTATAAACTTACCTTTTTTTTACTTATTTTGTACGACTTTGTTGTTAGTTTCCCTGTACTTTTTCGAAATAATTATCGAATGAGAAAACCCATACATAATCCAATTTAAATGACTTCTAAGTCAAGTCTCGGAGGTGAAACCTACTTAACTAAATGGTACATAATCAATATCCCTAGGACATATACGCTACAAATCTATTGGCTTAGTCCATCTCTACTCAACAAACCAAAAAAAAAGATAATAATAATATCCCCGCTTTAAAGATGCATTAAACAATACTTGATTGAACTTTTAGTTTAGCGGTTATACAAACCCCATTGTGAACGATTCAAACGAACGAAATCAATCAAAATATCGATTTTGCTTAAAATTTCTACAAATAAAAGAAGTAAAAGTGAAAAAAAAAAATTAGAAAAGCGGGAAGAAATGATAAGACAGGAGAACTTGGCAGCTAACTTTTGTGGTCTATTAGCCAGTCAAGGTTACAAAGGTTGGTTCGAAGCTTTTTGTTTTAAATACAAATTGACAATTTCCACATTTCTAACATAGACAAGGCTTTGGAATGGCGTATTTTGGGACAAGAACAGGATGGTTCAATGTTGGTTTCTTGGCAATTTGAAGATCTTCAGACATTATCCCGCGAAACCTGTATTGGGCACTTTAATGTCACTAAGAAGTTATTGTGTATTTTTTACCGTTTGGGAAAGTGTGCAGACGTAGTTCAAGCTACTGTTAACAGCACATTAACTTTGTTGGCTTATATTGTTAAAGAACATTGGAAGGGTGAGTGTGCGTGTTATCAATTTATAAACAAACAACCGTTTGGTTGCGCCCCGGTTTTTATCAATTTATAAACAACCATTTGCTTGCGGCCCGGTTTATTTTCACAAACAGGCTCCTACTCTAGAACTACCACCCCGCCAACATCAGAAGAGACCAGCAACTGCAAGGATAAACCGTTAGAATTGCATTACAATGCTTTTATTGTAGAAATACGAGCAGATAACAAAGGAAAGGCAATAAGTCTTTTGAAACCACCAACGAAGAGACAGGTTATGTCGCAATTTCTGTGGCGTTCTGAAAATCGCTTCGATAAAATTTGGCAAGATAAACTTTTGATAATGGTGCATGGTCAAAGTAAGTAAGCAGCTTACACAAAACATGAGTGACATTCACTGAGTATGATTTTCAGATATTCTCCAGTTCTCTTGCAATATTATGGTTAAAAACTCTGCAATATCTAATGTAAACTTTACTTCTGATGATAACTGGTATTTGGACATCAATCTGCAGTCTGAGTGTTTGGCAAAATGTTTTACGTGGGCTCAGTGGGACAGTGACAATCAGACTTTATATTACATACATATGAAACCAAAAACCAAAAGCTTAAGTTTAATGGAAACCGATAACGATAATATTGACTCGGAGAGTACCTTGAGTCCCACTTTGTCCGCTTTCCAATTTAACGACAAATTACCCACAGAAACGGTGGTATGTATCATAAATACTTTCATAAATAAATAATTATTATTTTTATTTAATGTCTTAATGTTAGCTTAATATACCCTTAAATCTTCCTAAATTACCAACCGGGTCGTTTCGCGATGACGAGCCTGCTTATGAGGATGACGTGGTGCCGCTGCGAGTTCACGATACGTCTTTAAATCTGATTATATTAACAGAACCCAGCGGCATGTTGTTTGTATGTCACTATTATTTGTATCAGCCCATTCAACCGAAGAATGTGGACGAAAGTGAGACTCCATCGACTGGAAGTTCTGCTAGCTCGACTACGAACTCTGCTACATCGACTCATCGCAAAGTAGATGTGCATTTTGCTTACTCTGTAACTCTACTGCATCATGGTTGTGCTGTGCACTGCGTGATGCCAGGCGTGTTGTGGGAGAAGGCTCGATTATTAAAGCCCACTTTTGCTTTGCATGGATCTCATCACTTGCTAGTCTTTCAACCGGATCTCTTTGTACATCTCTTAGATGTGGGTTTAACACATGAACCTTGCTACTGTCATATTGTATGCACGGCCCATAACCGCAATCCTGTTACACAGTTGATACCATGTCGTAAATGGGGTTCATTAGCTTACGATACTGCCACCCTAGATCTAGTGTCGTTAACAGTGCCACGTTCTCATTTGATAGAGACTTTCCGTAATGACACATCTGTCGATAATCGCTTGAGTATTATCCATTATTTTTTAGTGCATTCATCTAACGATCAGCTAGATGTCTTGGCTGAATTGTTGAGTATAATCATGGAACGGCCATTATTTTTGGATACAGTGGCATTGTTAAAAGAGTCCCTAGTAGCTGGAAGTTATGCTGCTGCTATAAGAGATTTACCCTCCGATGCAGTAGCAATGGCTCGTTATCTGCCTCTAACTACAGTTGACGCTGGTCGCCCAATACAGGCACGCGTAGCTGAAATAAGTGTAGGAATATCCCATGAAAGTTTATGGAATACTAGCATGATGTTATTGTCGCCACAACAAAGACTTTCGCCCTATAAAGCTGATATCTGGACCCGAGTTTGGGAGCATCTCAATGAGGTAGGGCAGAGGGAACATGGCAATTGTGGGAATCGCCGTTTCACCGTAGAACAAGTCAACGAAAAGCTTATGTTTTCTTTAGCCTGTTATCAACCAGAGGCATTGTCACGTTGCACCACGCCACAAACGCCGAGTGGTATATCGGGCAGTAGTAGTTTAAATGATTTCTCCGTGGCTAGTCGACGCAATTTTAATGAAGTAATGCCTTTTACTGAAATAGAATCTTGTACGGCCACCAAGCAGGAACATGTGATGTCCGTGGTATGTATAATTTAAAAAAAAACGCATTTTTTCATTGCTTGATTTAATTATGTCTATTCGATATTTTTTGAAAAAGGTTGAATTGCTAAACCGCCTAGCTCACGTAACTTGACCATTCTTAACCATCTCAAGCATTCTTAACCATTGTTAGCCATCAATAGAAAGTATTTTTGATAAATCGTTACTTGAGGAACCTTTATTTTATTTATTCAAATTATGGAGAATTATTCAAATGTTCTGTTATTTCGTTCTTCTATAAATTTCTTCACCATTCTGTTATTCTTCTATGCTTTTGTTTTGTTGTTTCATCTAGCATGTCGAATTTAACCAATCTTAAACATTCTTAACATTCTTTAGACCTTACGTGAATTAAGTGTACATTTGGTGAAAAATTCTTCGAAACCAAACACTGGTTTTCGTTGGCTTAAAGAAACGTTTTTTGAGCGATCTCAAGCACCAGCCCATATTCACAAAGTTGCTACACATTATGTTGGAGCTCAGTTGGAGCTATCACGTTCCCTTTGCTCTTTGGTTTGTCGAGCAGCTGGCTTGGATGCGCGTCACGAGACTTTGCGGGGCTTTGCATTGATGTAAGTGAAAATATATGAACTTTGTTTAAAGGAAAAACATAATGTTTTTAAATGTTTTATAGAGATCAAATGATCAACAGCCAACAATATTCCCTATTTCTTATTTTGGAACGTTATTGTTTGGCTGTCGATTCTATAGCATTTCCACTGCCGCAAGGTTTTGCTTCTTTCTTCACTTATTTGGGGTACAAAGCATTAACTTTCGACATGTTTTTGCAATATGTACAAAATCATGTATTCGAAATGCAAGTGGATGTCATGAAATCTATAATAAATGGTGAGTTTTTGAGTTATTTTGGAGAAGGTAATTATTTTTATGTTCACTATTTAGCATAGTAGAGGGGCCATGCCCTGCGTACAACTGAATATACAGTTTACAGATACATCTGATGTACAGGAAGACATAAGTGCGCATCTGCATCGTGTCTTGAGTAGTTTGATTAGCAGAAGATTTCTAGACTGAACAAGCTATCAATATATTATGGATACAATCAGATTTTAATTTTTATAAAAATCTTAATACATCCGAATATGTGCCATTTCCATATTTGGGTACTTATTACGTAAAGATTTCGTTCACGACAAATGGGCCTTTCTGGCATATCACGATCAACTGATAACAGAAAGCCAATATTTTGGCGACGATTTTCAGCAATTTTAGTTGGCATATTTCATATATTTTGTTGCGCGTTTTCATAGACTGTATACATTCTGGACCGACGTAGATAGTTATTTTTATACTTGAAAAATGAGCTTGAAATATTATATAGATCCATGGACCTTCCTCTTAAATTCTTCTCATCTAAAGGCCAAGTAAAAAAAGGTCACGAAACATGGGCGTTTCTTACGCTTCTCATTTTAAAAAGTATTTGTCTTTAAGACCCCGTATGTACAGACGGCTTTTAAGTTATATTGGATATGAGTTATTGCCGAATATTCATATGTTGAATATACTATAGCAAGAACCATCGAATCTTTGCTCCGTTCTTCAAGTATCTTACGTTCTTTATATCTATTAATTACCCGTAAAGCAAACTTCATATATAATACTACATAGATGGCATGGCTTGTATTACGACTAATTTTGCTATCAGATTTAAGGTAAAAAAGTAGGGTATAATAAAAAATTGAACTTAATAGAATATTAATAATTTTTTATTTTACTTTTGCAGACATTGATGACACACGTGATGGCATAGAAAAGAAATTATCTCTGCTATCGGTATTGCCAAAGCAACGTGCCCAGCGTTTGCTTAAAAGTTGGCATCATCCTGAAAGTTTAATGATACGTGGTCGTGAACACGCCGCTAATGTCTTGTCTGGTACGGCAATACAATCACAACGCAAGGGCAATCTATGCAATATGAACACCCAAGCCCGTTCTGTCATAAGAACTGGTCAGTGCCTAATTTTGTTGCCTTTTAATTATTTAGATAGTTTATATATAAATACTTGACCATTTAGATTTTAAATCGGACCTTTCTATGCAAATTGCGTTTTTTATAGCGCTAATAATAATTTCAATGGCGTTTTTAGGGATGATAGGGCTTTTTGTCGTTCTAGAAATATTGCAGAGCTCCCGATAATATTTACTTTTGAAGGAAACATATTTCCTCTAACTGTGATTTTTTATCGTGTTTGGTAAGCGAATCTTTGTGTTTGTATAGTTGTAAACTGCGAGATGTTATCTTAGAGTAGTTAGGGTTTACCGTCTTCAGATAACAGGTTGAATCAAAAGTGCGCGGAACGTAATAGTGTGTGAGCTACGGCATAAGAAAACGTTTATAGCCGTTAAACGGTCGATTCAGTCATGCATATAAACAAAAAACACAGTTGCTTAATAATAAGATGATGTAAAAACAGAAACGTATAAAAGTTTAAAGTTACGTGGGCGTTGGACTTTTCTTGAAAAAAGTTTGGTCGTGGGATATGAACTCTCCTTGTCACAGAAGCAAAGAGATGAAGAAAGAAGATGCGAAGCCACGAAGATGACAAGGTAGATTATGACATTTCAATTGAATGGGTAAAACAATTCGTGAGGAACGAATTGAAGAAAAAAAAAGATGCACATATACGTTTTCATGATGCTTAGAATGATTGACTGACACTGTTGGAGGTGTTTTACATCTACTAAGCCTTATCTTTTCTGTTTTTGATTCGTTCCAAAATCTCGAAAATTTTGTAGTAATGAATCCTTTTTTTCAAAAGGAGAAATTGAAACGGCAATACTTTCATATTTTGTTGATCTCTCTGACCCAATCAAATCTCCTATGAAACTAATTAATAATTAAACTGAAACCTGAAGGAAGAAAATACTAAACCATTAAATACATTTTCAAATTATAAATTCCGCGCACTTTTCAGTAAGCCTAGTATAAATTCTGTGTGTAATTTTGTAATTATTTCAATAAACGTCTTACGATATTTTTTTTTATATATGTGCATCCTAGGTGTCGTTGCTGAAAAACTTTCACCATTAGATTCGTTTTTGGATCTTTTAACTGCCAAAGCTAGTCTGAATGAATTGGATTATAATTTACTAATTGAAACTACAATCTCATCTATGGATCATTTGAATTTGACTAAAGAATAACAACATTTAGCGCTGTCGTTCAATCTTTTATAAAGGAAACAATGTTTGTTTTTGTGCAATCATAGAATTTTATCGATCTCTTCTTACGCCTTTATTAAACTTAAAATTTATGTTGAATGTATATATTGTTTAGTTTCTTTTAGACTTAGTTTATTACATAACAGTTTGTTATTTAAGATTCATTTTTTTTTTGAGCGGATAGCCTGTGTTGCTAGTGCTCAATGTCTCTTTTTTTAGTCTAAGAATTCAATTCATTAGTCTAAAATTAAAATAATAATAATAATAATAATAATAAGATTCATTTTTATTGTATTATTCGATCATTTGGTAGCATTCTGTGTGAATTATTTTAAAGTTTTTTTTTGTTAAACTTATTTGCTGTAATTATCGATACGTAATGCAAAAACTCGAAGACATTTGTCATGCATAGGATATTCCTATAATGACAATATGAAATAAATACATAAAAATTAAAAGGAATTCGAAAATGTTATTAAATAATCCAAAACATAAGTTACAACGAGAAGAATCCGTTTTAGTGGCCGGATGGACTAAGGATCTGAACTAACAACTCATTGATTGAAAACTCAAGTGCGGTAGACTTTCCAATGAAACCGATAGCATCAGATGTGAGTGCGTTAAAACGTAGGTCTTTGAATTTATTTCTCTGACTCTAAATCTGTTATGGTAACCACAATATTACGACAGATGAAGGTCGAAGCTCTCCCCTCCGCTACTAATCCAGTAATAGCCATCTAAAATAAAGAAAAATTATTACAAATTTTTATAAGGAAGAAAAAAGATGAGTAAAACAACGTTATTAAACTGCTGATGAAAAATAATTTACAATTTTATCAAATTAGTGGAAAAGAATGTTGGTCACTTAAACAAAACTCAAACAAGTACGACAAATTCATTTTCCAGTTTGACACATCATTTATCTCTTTACCAAATTACCTCTCGCTTAAGTTTTTTTTGTAATACGACCAATAAATCCAGCGATGTCCTCTATTCGTGTAACACGATCATTGTCAGAAAGAAGTGAGGAAAGAGAAAGAAAGAAAGATGTAGGCAGATGGTGGTCGCAGCCACATGATAAGCGCCACGGCTTTACCGACTCAGTATTCATTATAGCTGCGACAGAAAAAGTTCTACCGCATTTGAAAAAGGGAGGTAAAACATTGAAAATAAGTTTAATTCTAGATCGTACATAAAAGTTTCGGGCATATGAAAAATGGAACCTACAACTTATAGCAAAACAAGGTTTAATTTTAATTCCAACTTAAAAGTAATAGCAAATAAAATTTTTTGTTTAATTCCTTTGTAATTTCTCCGTCGAGCTCGAATGGCCGAAACTCTTCTTCGGGCTCTTCTTCTAATTTATAGTCCAAATTTTTGATCAAGTGGTAATCGTTTTGAGGTACGTATCCATATGATATTTGTTTACGTTGTAATCTGTTATCTCGTACGTTGTCTCTTGTTTACCGCCATTTTTATGAAGAAATGCTCCAGGAGATCTTGGCTTATCTTGTGTGGTTCTATTTCGATGCCAGGGTAAGCCACCACCAGTTCGTCCATTATTATGATGAAATTTTTTATAGTGGTTAAAGTATCGGTGACTAATTGATCCCACCGCACGTTAGCATTTAGATACTCTTTTACGTCTTTCAGTATTTCTTGTTGGCGGTCCCAAATTTCGGCTGTTATAACACTTCGGTGGAAGACATTGGCTACATTTGTTAGCATTTGATATAATTTTAAATTTAAACGCTCGGCACGTTTGCTTTTCTCGCTTGCGGCGAAGATGTTTGCGTCGGTTTCCGCTTGTAGTGACACTGGCGTTATGTCACTGCAAAATGGTATCATTTCAGCGGCACTTCGAGGACAAGATATAGTTTGTACAACGTTTCTTCGTTGCCAGAACTCACATTTTGGCCTGTTTCTTTTTGAAACATTTACTTGCAAGTTGAATTCCACCAAATCGACATCTTTCATTTTGCTTCTAAACGCCATGAGTAAATGTAAGTAATTATAGAAGATTAAAATTCTTTTGGTGCTGCCGTCTGCCTCTTCGAATTTATACTCGCCTTATTGCCAGACGATCTGTCGCAGACGACAGCTCGGACATCTAGTCCGATCTCCTCTGCCAGCTTGATGACGTCTCTTAATTCTCGGGGATAGCCTTTATGGCTTGTCAGTGGTTTGGCACTTAGTAACATGTTAAATGGTGTCAGTAAACTTCTGGAGGCGAATATAAGCACTGACACGTATTTCACTGTTTCCCCGGTCGACGATAGTCAGCAGATGAGCATCTTGTCTTCATCTCGGCTGTAGATTAACCTCTCACTGTTGAACACCTCATCGAAGTTAATTTGTATTATTTTGTCGTAAGCACTTATATTTGCTTACGACTTCTTTAAGAGCCTCCGTGCCAGTCACTTCGCTTTCAGCTGAGTCAAGTCCTGCCTGAGGCCGTTCCACTTGGCGGCCTTCGTTTCTTCTCACTGCGGCAAGTTCAGCTTGTAGCTATTCCACTTGGCGGTCTCTACTTCTTCTCACCGCGACAAGTTCAGCTTGTAGCTGTTCGACTTGGCGGATAAGTGCCGCCTCCCCCAATGTACTTGGGCCGTCCCGTATGGGAAGTAAAATATTCTCTACCACATGTATGGGGCTGGATGGCATAGTTCGTATTCTGTTATTGCCCTGTTCGTTTCCCCCGTGATTTCCATTGTGTTTCCATCCTCTTCCATATCCTCTACTAATCTGTCTTCCGTGTTTTCTATTAATCTTGCTTCTAATCGTCGTCTGTTTGCTTTGTTGCCTAATTCTTCTAAAATTTGCCTACTATGCTCGCCTATTTTATCCGTATTGTCGAAATGTCTGTCTCTGGACCGTCAGTCTTTCCACCGTCATCGTAAACCTCAACTCCCTAGCGAACCATATGTAGTCTTCTAAATTTGAGAATTTTCTATCGCTGCTACTATACAATAGTTTCAAAGAATGTCTAATTCCTCTAATTTTTTCTAAAACTCTGTCCCACCACTAATTGTCCCGTTTTCTCCGTCAGCCTATCTGCAAGTCGCTTGCATTCTAACATGCAAAGCGTACATCTTTTGACACCCCACAAGTTTGGGTGTTCCTGCAACAACTGACTGAAAAGTCCTTTTGGTATGTTTGCCATATATACTTAATAATTTATATAATTATAAATTACACGATCCGCCTGAGTAGCCGAAGGGGAGGAACTCGACTAGCAAGTCAATGGTCGTGGGTTCGAATCTCAAGTGCGGTAGAGTTTTTAATAAAAAGCCGATAGCCTTAGATGCTAGTGCTTTTAAGAGTTTACTCTTAGAATATATTTCTCTGGCGAAATTAATAACAATAATAATAATAATATAAATTACAATAATAAACCAATATATATTATATAAATATATATGTAATAATAACAATAATAATAATATAATGTATAGCATGAAAAAAAAGAATATATATATATATATATAAATTTTGTAATCTTTTTATTTATTTCTTAAACTCTGTGAATCGTTTTGTAGAAGTTGATGAAAGCTCTGAAATTTCCCCTAATAAATTTAATAAAGGAGGAGCAGCTATATTTGCACACAAATGAGGGCAGCGTGATTCTTGTAAATGGAGATATCAGAATTTGGGGGAATATAGGAGCAGATTATAAATAGGTGTTTATTAGACATTTTCGCACGAATGGCGATAAATTCAACGTCAGGAGAAGTGGGAAATTCTATTAAATTGGACGGGACTGACGCAGATATGGCAATTAAAACACCACTACCAATGCGATTGACTCGATCATTTCTAAAGACTTGGAAAGAATTGTGAAAAAGTTCCGACGAATGAAGATCGGGTTTTCAGTGATGGCCAAACTGAAAAACTCCGTACTTACTGAATTTAGAAAGGTACAACGAATTTTTGGATTTAGGCCCTTAACATTTTGATAAATGAGAGATAATGGGTCTGAAGAAACATTTAGTTTTTTGAAAGCGACAGGACTATTGCTTTGGTATTACGGGGACGATCTCGAGGGATAAATTCCTTAATTAAGGATCCTACTGGCCACAGTGATTTGTTTAACAACATATCACTGTTTTCAGTCAGAACTAATATTTTAAAAGAGGAGATTGCCCTAGCTTGAGAAGGAGCCATTTTGAAGATGCTAACACGCTTTAAGTTGACTGATGGGACTTTCGTCGGCAGATAACTTTTTATGTTATCCACCGAAGTTTCAGGTGCCAGTCTTGACACAAATATTGCTTTTCTGGGAGGAACTGCCGTCAAGCAAATGTCATTATTTGGAACAGGAGGGGGGTTCACGGTAGGAGAGTTACGAGTTGGGGAGAATATAGATGGCGTTGTCGCCCTTGCACTAGCAGCTTGTGCGACTTGCCCAGTCTGGTGACCAGCGTTCACATGCGAACAGCCAGGGGGAGAGGATGATTTATTTTTCTTTTCATTATTTTTAGGCGATGGCGCTTGATTAGAGTGAGTGGCGGTTCTGGGAGGAGATACCCTTGCCACTTCAGCGTAGGTTAAAACCGAAGGACTTGCCGGCTTGTTTGTAACTGTTTTGTTACCAACCGATTCAGCAATATCGGAAACATTAATGTTCATTTTAGAGTTAGAGGGAGCGGTAACTTTTACCAACGAATTAGATTTGGAGAAAGCCAGAGGTGACGACCCACACGCTACGCTACGAGTAGAAGATGAGTGCTCAATGAAACGACACTCATCAAACCTAAACTTAATTAGCT